GAGTCGGCGGCCGGCGGCCCGGCGGGGACCCGCACCGGGCAGCCGCCCCAGCCTGCGCCGTCGGCTCAGCAGCCTCCGCGGCCGCCTGCCTCCCCGGATGAGCCGTCGGTGGCCGAGTCGTCGGTGGGCAGCAGTCGCCTGCCACTCAGTGCCTCGCTCGCCTTCTCCGACCTCACCGAGGAGATGCTGGACTGCGGGCCCGGCGGCTTAGTGCGGGAGCTGGAGGAGCTGCGCTCCGAAAACGACTATCTCAAGGTGGGGGCCTGAGGGGGAAAGGGAACCCCGGGGGTTGGGGAGGACCTGCCCCATCCTGAGAGCCTGAGGCCGCAGCGGCCACTTTTCCACCGAAGACGCTGCGGAGAGCGGCCCAGATCCGGGACCACTCAGGGGTTGGCCTAGGGATCCCTCCCATGTGCCTGCCCCACTTTATCCGAGAAACCGCCTCCTGACCTGGAGCTTGGATGAGATACCGTTAATAGGACACAGGTATGGGCAGAGGGGCCCCGGTAAAACTGCTTTGGAGGATGCTTAGATGGGTGGGGGTGGGTAGTCAGCTCAGGACCAAGCTCCCAGGCCCCAGGCCTTCTTCGACTCTCTTTTCTGGGGCCAACTTTGGTGTGCCAGGGAAACCGCGGCCATCCTCTGGCAAGGAGCGGCAGGAGCACCCTCCTGAGTTGTTACCCAGGGCTTTCCCCGGCAGGCTTGTCCTTGCCTGCCTTTCAGGGCGGGTCCGATTTGAAAACATGACATTTGGGAACATCCCCTTGGCTGGAGTCCACTTCCGCCCAGTCTAACGGTCCTACAGCCTGGGAGGATGATGTCGTGGGAGAACCGGTTCAGAGGCCACTTCCTCAATCCCAGGATATTGTCTTCTGTCCCCACTGCAAAAGGCTTAGACAGCTGTTGGCTCTTGTGGACCTTGCCCCCAGCCCCCGTGGAGGGAAGGAAGGGAGGAGGGAAGCTGCCCTCTTGAATAGGGGTACTCCCTCTGTGCATGTGGGACTGGAGAGCTGCCTGGGGACAGGGGGCTGTATTGAACACTTAGTGCAGACCCTGGCACAGTGGCAGCTTTAGGGACAGTCCAGCCCTGGCTTCTTGACCTTGGCCTGAGTGGCTGGAATCTTCATGGGGTGTACTGCCACAGCTGGGCAGTTTTGGAAGAGGCTGCAATGTCATTTGCACTTGTCAGTTGATGGCCTGGCACAGCACCCAGAATGCCCTGGCCAGGAGCCATGAAGTTCACAACACTCTAATGACACATCCTGCCCTGCAGCGCTTTGCCTTGTGGCTCTTCTGTCCAAAGGGGTTTTTCCCTGTTTAACATGTTGAGGGTCTTGTTTTCTTGCTTCCCTGTTTTCCTTGGGATCTGCTATCCAGCATGTGCTAGGTACATCAGAGAGCATGGTCTGTCTGAAGCAGGATCACCTGCTACTTCAGCCTGAACCCTTCCCCAGGCCAACCCTCCAATTCCTTTTCTGTTTAATGGGAGGATGAGTCTTCCCAAAGCCTCCACTCAGTTTTGACAATTGGGGGTTCATTCAGCCTGTAGGGTCTTCTTCTGAAGTCAGTGGAAGGAAGGTGACTGCAGGGCCTGTGGGGCTTGCCTGCTGGATGCTCCTGTTTCTGAACTCTCCACCTGGGCTACTCCAAACCTGCACCTGAGTCCTTCTGCTTACCCTGCAAAGGGGGACATTTCACGTCTTGGTTCAGTATCCTCCTGCGCTTACCCTGGGCTCCTTCCTGGACTCCCAGGAAGTCTTTCAGCAGAGCCCCAAAGTGCATCTGAAGTACCTGTGACTATGCAGTTGGGAAAGTAGTCCCAGGAGGCTGAGGATTGAGCCAGGGTCTCCCTCTCAGCCAGGGCCCAGCTGGGGACATTCTAGTGTCTGGGCCAGGGCTGAGCCTCAGTATCTACCATCAGTTTGGTGGTTGAGGTTTCATGCAAACCTCAGCCACTATTGGATCTGGAGTCTATAGCTTCCTAATTCTGTGATTTTGGGCAAGTTACTTAGCATCTCTGAGCCTGAGTTTTCTCATTTTTAAAATCAGACTAGACCACACCCTCTACCCTTATGTGCATAGCTAGAGTATGTATATAGTAAATGTTACTTGTGTAACTGGGATGACTGCTGTTCTTGAGATAGGGAACATGTTTTCATGTGCATCTGCCACATTCTCTTGTGGATTCTGTGGGAGCAGGCTGGGCTTTTCCTCCTGGCCTGGATGTTCATTCATTCATTCATTCATTCACTCACCAAGTGTTTGCTTAACACTTGCTGCATACCACAGATCTGGGGTATTACTGTGAACTGAGTGAAGTGTCTTTTCTTGGGGAGCCTTGGAGGCCAGGATTAAACAATAGTCACAATAAAATACAATGTAGATGGTGGTAAGGGTGGAGAAGGCTAAGTGTGCCAAGAGCACATGGAGGTGGGGGCCAAGGCTCAGGGAGGCCAGGAGCCAGCTGAATAAGGAACTGCAGTAAGAACATTCCAGGCTGAGGGAAGTTGGAACAAGCTTGAATTGAGAACAGTGTCTAGGCTAGAGAGGGAAAGCAGTGAGTGAGGAGGGTAGCTTGGCTATGCTGACTCTCACTGTGTGCACTTGGCACAGTTTGCTCTTCAGGTCTGTTTCCTGCACTTGCCAACCTTACCTGGACAGGGTGGAAATCCCTGCGATGGGAATGTGGACCAAACATGTGGAGCTTCCTGTTGTGGGTATTTTTTTTTTTTTCCTATGACAGCGGGTAGCCTGTGGCCAGAGCAAGGGCTTGCTCCAGGCAGCCAGAGCTGGGAGTAAGAGCGCGTCAAACTCCTGCTGTTTTCTGCCTCTCTGGGCCACTTTGCATCTGAGGTGCAGAAACTGAGTAAGAAGGAAAAAAACTCCAAATCCCCAGTGTGTCCATTGCAGGCTGACCACATTGGCTGAGGGGAGTGCCCTGGACTCCAGTGGATGGCTCTGCTCAGGTTCACCTCTCTGAAGTGGGAGGAGGGCACTGTCAACAAAGGAGGACCCTTGGATGACTGCATAATCTCCCTTTTCACAAGGCCCTACTCTGGGGCCCAAGTAAGGAAAGTATAAGTGGAGTAAGTCTCTCCCAGTGATAAGACAGAAGAAGCTTCTGCCGGGAAGATGCTGAGCTTGCTGACACTTGAATTATTTAGAGGGGCTGGATGGCCTCGAATGTCTGGGTACAGACAGGGTTTGTGGGAAGCAGCTTACAGATGGTCCAGAGTGTTGGTGGATGTGATCACTGCCGAGCATTTGGGGAGTTTTGTGTGTGACTTTAGGTCCTTTCTAACCATGGGTGTATGAATGTTAATTGCTGAGGTTCCAGGACTCAGAAATGTACCTTTTGCTGCAGAACAGACAGGTTAACTGTTTGACCCACAAAGCTCCAGTGGTCTGAGGTCCCTTGTGACCACTAACAGTTACCTTGTACCATGTAGTGAGAATAGGCTGGGAACACACCCAGTCTGGGATGTCTCAGAGTGCTGGAGTTCAAAGATCTGTCTCTGAGACATGATTCTACCAAGGGCAAGTGACTGGGCTCTCTGAATTCCTTCCCGACCCTCATCTATATAATAGAGATGATGGAGTAGTGTGCCTGGACATTCTCCAAGGATTGTTTTCAGCAACCAGGGAGATATGAATAGTCAAGAAAACATCTTGCAAGTAACGAAGTCCTGGGTCTCATGAGGGATTGTTATGATTCTTAGCCAGTGAACAGACAGGATGTCTGTGTGCTCATTCTTGGAGGAACTGGAGAAGCCAGAAGGGTGGGTTTCCTTAGCACTAGAATGTTAATAAACCAGGAGCTGCTCCAGGGAGGACAGAAGGACATGATCACATTCCCTGCTGCATAGGTTGGGGGTAGGGAGCTAGGCCTTCCTACCTGGGGGTTCCAGCTTTGAGTGATAGATGCCATTTACAAGGGTCCAGAGAAAACTTCTCATTGACCTGCCCATTATATAGATGGGCAAGTGCAGGCACCAGGATTCCATCATGCAGCCAGGATTCCAACCTCTGCAGTGTGGACAGAGTGATGAGCTTTGTTGCTATTGGCATGTCTGGTATGGGATAGAGGCTGGTGAAAGGAATCCTCTTGTGGGCCAGGCACCAGGCTAAGAGTTGTATGAAGCAAGTTGTGAATAAGCTCATGGTAGAGTGTTTGCCTAGCATACATGAAGCCTTGGGTTCCATCACCAGCTTGGCATAAACTGGGCATGGTGGTACATGCCTATTATCGCAGGACTCTGGATGTGGATGCAGGAACATCAGAAGTTGAAGGCCATCCTCAGCTACATAGTGAGTTCAAGGACTGTTTAAGATGTATGAGACCCTGTCTCAAAACAAATAAACCCCAAACAAAACTAAAAGCAGGAGTCCCCGTCTGAAGATGGATATGTGCCTGTAGGGAACTCCTTCTATAAAACGGATTCAGTGTGCCTCTTGTGGGACTTCTTCATTGTGACAGTGCATGCCCATTGCTCAGTAAATGTGCCTGTTTCAGTCATCACCTCCCTCTCCCTAACTTCCTCCTATATTTTCCTAGAGTCTCCTGATTAGTAGTAGACCTCTCCAGGAAGATCTTCAAAGCTCCTGGGAGCTGGAGGGGGAGGGCCCCAGTCTGTCACTGGGTAGAGGACAGGGTCAGCAGAATCCTCTAGACTCTGCGGTGCGTCCCAGCCACTCTGACTGAGACAGGGCTGGCCTCTGGTAGGGAAGCAGGGAGGCAGCTCCAACTGGAGGGAAAATGAGGTAGAAAATGTGAGGCAGCAGCTGCCATGGCCTGAGGAGACCACAGAGCTGCCAGGACTGCCAATGTTTCTTGCTGAGGAGCTGGGTCTATGTCCCTAGACACACTCTGAACACACAGACTTATTCAGAGCTCAAGTTCAGAGACCCACATTTACTCATGCCTGGGTCAAGTACACATTCAGCAATTCACTTTTGGTGTTTGCTTCCAGAAGTTTGCCTCAAGGCATGTCCACATAAGGAGCAATACACAGACCTGTGCAGACATGCTACCTCTGTCCCCTCTAGCCACACACTACCAAACACAACACAAACTCACACAAGCAGGAGACTTCAGGCTTGGAAACACCCTCCTTCATACATCTCACACTTCTAGGCACACTTGGGTCCCAGAGATGGACATTGCCCGGAGATACTCTCAGGCACTCAGAAGTCTACATCCATATACAGATGAACACACAAATCCACACAGATCTTATCTACATGCACCAGCATCA